TCATCGACTTTGAAAAGGCCTTCGACAGCGTCGATCGAGAGGTCATTTGGAAACTACTTCGCTACTACGGGGTCCCATCGACAATTATACACCTCATCCAACAGTTATACGACAATGCTGCATGCCAAGTAATCCACAACGGGAAACTTACGGAAGCCTTCGAAGTGAGGACGGGAGTGAGGCAAGGCTGTCTACTATCACCAATGATCTTCCTGATTGCAATTGATTGGATAATGCGACAGACAACGGCAACCAACGAGGGAACAGGCATAAAATGGACTGACACAAAAGACTTGGAGGATCTGGATTTCGCCGATGATATATGTCTGATTTCCCATAAACTGGAAGATATGCAAGTGAAAAGTAACAAGTTGGCAGAAGAAGCATCAAAGATAGGACTTCACGTGAACATAGATAAAACAGAGATGATGAAGATTCCTAGCCAACATCAACAACACCAACAGACCACAATAAGCATAAATGGGAAGAACCTGAAAGAAACAACCTCCTTCACCTACCTGGGAAGCATCGTCTCAACTACAGGCGGAACTGACGAGGACATCAAAGCCAGAATCGGAAAAGCAAGACAAGCTTTCATTACTCTCAAATCTGTGTGGAGGTCAACAGCAATCAGCATCAAAAATAAGATCCGGATTTTCAACTCCAATGTGAAGTCAGTGCTACTATACGGATCAGAGACTTGGCGAGTCATAAAGAGCATCTCAAACAAACTTCAAACCTTCATTAACAACTGTCTCCGCTCAATACTCAAGATCAGATGGCCAGAAAAGATCAGCAACAGGGATCTCTGGGAGCGAACCAATCAGGAACCGATTGTGAAACAAATAGGCAGAAAGAAATGGAGATGGATTGGCCATACGCTGAGGAAACCATCAAGTGACATCACTAGACAAGCCCTCGAGTGGAACCCGAAAGGGAGGCGGCGAGTTGGTCGTCCAAGGGTGACTTGGAGGAGGTCATGCGAGGAGGAGATGAAAGCATGTGGACAGACCTGGAGCAGGGTGAAAAAGTTGTCAGAAAACCGAAGTCAATGGAGGTGCGCAGCTGAAGCCCTATGTTCCTCTAGGAACTAAAGGATACAATAATAATAATAGTCAATAACAAAGTGCGTGAGAAATGATAATATACCATCTATGCGAGATTAACAGTCAATAACAAAATGTGTGGGAATGATGATATACCATATATGCGAGATTAACAGTCAATAACAAAATGTGTGGGATCCTATCAGTTTTTAAGAATCCTACGTAGGGAGTGTCTCGGATGTCCCCTTCTTATATGGTATAACAGTAGATGTGTTGTGTTTTCAATCGAAAAGACACGTCATCGATTGTTTGAAGTCTTGATACATACAGGGCTACACATCACACAGGAGAGTATAGCCTGCTTAGTAATGCTTTTGGAAGCCAGACTGGTTATATAAATAACCCATAATGTCGTCGAAGCTTCACCCCGGATAATCCTTCATACTTCAGTGTGCATATATCATCTATACACGTATTCACATAAACATTGTGTTAACCTTTGTTTCCTTCATTCTAGGTGCGCCTTCCACTTTGACTGGAGAACCACGCCAACGTTTACAGGTTGATATTGATGAGATCAGCTTATCGGATGGTAAGGTGATTTACTTTGTCACCGGGAAATATGATTCAGTCTGTCTGTTTTCCACATAGAACTTTGCACCAATGTGCACCATTTCAAGTCACCTCACTCCCTCCTTGTAGCACACAAACCAAGAGAAGAAATGCATAATAGAGAGAGATAGTAGACAGAGGAGTGAGACAAAGGAATAGTAATAACGAAGAACAATATAGTTTCATTGGAAATCATATGTCACAAGGAGTGGTTGCATCTTCGCCAGCTAGCCATTGAAAACGATCGCTTTGAGCCATATCATCACCGATTGTTTCCAGACTTCATTGGTTTTTACCGTCCCAATGACCCCAACCAGTCAGGAAGCCTGTCTACACCTTCCTATGTGGCTGGTTGCCTTAAACTAAGTGTTGTGGATTTCGTTGTCTGGTGAAGCTATGTTTTGGTTTGACCGCCGCTAGCTCTTTTCTAGCCTGACCAATCCTATGTCAGCTAACATTTCCCAGGCATACGTAACACATGTCGTAACCACTTTTTTATTACTACAGCTTGATTCCACACTGTATTTTTGGTACAAGTATGGAATTTTCAGCATGGATATCGGTAGCCCAAATTTAGCAGACTGACCATAGATATCAGGTGTGCGTCGGCAGGGAATCGAACCTCGGACCAAGTGCATGGTCGGCAAGAGTCCTAACCACTGTGCCATCATCTCAGACAATATAATTTCACAGCCTCGTCGATTGATTTCCCCTCCCACCTACCTAGCACTTGACCGACGCCTAACCTCAATATTGCTCACATTATTATACCACTTCACACGGGATATAGAACGCAGCCTATCATCGATGACAGCTAATCTTTTCATGTCTTCCACTCTCAATGCCCAGGTCTCACAGCCAGCCATAAAAAAGGACAGAGCGGACTGACTGCATATGCGAAACTAGCCCTCTGTATCCGTACTCAGCTGGCATTTCGTCAGAGATCAGCAAGTTGGCCAGGCTGATGGTACTTCTCAAATAAGTGAAGCGGTCAACGCGCTCCACCAACCACTTCACTCCCTATTTCTAAACTAGGATTCAGTGCAGTCCAGTTCAGTCCTGTAACATCATCTTACACTAGACAGCAGCACGAGCGAATCGCATGCCAAACATTCGAAGATGGCTGCTCTCCAAGGTGTTCAGAAGACAGTTCCCCCATTTTTTCAGCGTCTTCACCTAGGAGTCAGAACTATATCATCTCCATATTGTAAGTCAATGAGGTTATTCCTTCCCTGGTGGTAACAAGTCATTCGTTGAGTGGGTCAGTTAGGTTTAAGTCCATTGGTTCATCTATAATGAATCAAGCAGAAATTGGGGATAGTGGGCATCCTTGACGGACACCACTATTCGTCATCACTCTCCGTAAACTCTCACCTGGCTGACTGCTTGAGTTCAAGTAGATTGAGTGCCGTGATCAGTGCAATGTATTCTCTGCGCATTCCACTTACAACCAAGCATCGCCAGAGAACCTCTCGGTTGACAGAATCGAATGCCACCATTAGGTCAATAAATATAACGATTGTTGGACGCCTACGGTAAGAATGCCTATGTTCTAGAATCTGGGAAACATGATCCAGTGATTATTTCGCATAGTTTATTATCAAGAGAACTGAATCTGCGCAATTCACCGACACCCCTCACAAAATGACTGATATCACAATTTCTGTGAACTATTAATATATGTGTAAAACGTGGGCACTGTGGTGGTGGTAGTAAGTAATTTCATATTAGTTTGTTTATTAGATGGATATATCACACAGTCAGCGAAACAGTATTAGTATTTACTTACTGGATGACAAAGTTTCGAACACACAATTCATTATTGCTGTTCATAATCATACAAATCACCAATTATAATCACACGACTTCGAAACTTCAGTTTTATAGTTCTCTTTGTCTTCTATTTGTCGTCACTTGAGGTAGTAGAATTTTCCAGACGTCCAGCTGGACACGTGGGAATCAATCCTATTGCAGGCACGTTTGCAGTTGATTTGATAAACAAAGCTTCTCTTATCAATCTTCACCACTCGACACCCTGTTAGTTGTATTAGATTTCAAAACTGTCATCTTATCCCATTCAGCCTATTGTATGGTAGTGCTTGCGATAGCTGATGAACTATTCTCTAGATTTCTTACCTTATTCGGTTGGGTCAACTAATCTAGATTTTGCTGCTAGGTTTTTATGCTTCTTGGCTGGTCTATCTCACTGATTCCCCCTGTTCCACTACTTTGACCTGACAATCATCGCAGACACGGTGTTAGATAAACTAAATTGTTTTTTTTAAAGGCTGCACAAGATTTATCCTTTAACCGACAGAGCTTGTTTCCAATTGAGTTTGTGGTTGGTTTGAATACCAGCCACTTTTATTCCTGCCTGTCTTGTTAAGAATTCTTGGCTGTAAGGTGGTTTCCGAGGTTCCTTCTTTGTATGGAAGTACTACTGATAATTTAGATTCCTTATTGTTGGTGTTGACTTGCATGTTGTCATCACTATTATTATCACTATCACTACCATCATTATTTATTTTATTTTTACATTTACTTACATATTTCCTGACTAATTTATCAGGGTAATTATTAAGTTTCAAGGCTTCTTTTATGTGTGTCACTTCCTGGCTTAGATTTTCCTTGGTACTACTTAGTTTTTGTGCTCCATCGTCACTTAAACATTTCATCAATCCTATTTTCACTGACGTATAGTGGAATAATCAGCAATCCAAATATCTGTTTGAATGTGTAGGTTTCCTGTAGACACACACAAGCTAGTGTGTTTAACTTCCCACTTTCCTTCCGTTTTACGCTGTAATCTAATATTGGAATTATGATTTACCATATAAACTACTGACAAGTAGTATATATTTTCATTTGAAATTTGTTTAGAAGTATTCACTTGGTTGGGTGTATGTATGCCTCAATCGCTTGATGTGTTGACTTTGTTTGAAAACTGATTGTCTTATTTCCATTTCTCTTGATCGGTATTTGTATGGTTAGTTATCGCGGCTAATAATGGTCATTGGACTATTGATCAGTGGGCAAGTGTTAACGCACAGTAAAGTGTGATCATAATGTGAATAAAATTGGGGTGATTATGTTCCCTGCTTTCCAAATAATCAATTAGTCTCTGGGCTGGCGGGTTGCGGGGGGTAGTGATTCGTAGAGTTTGAGATAGCTTATTATCAGAGGAATTGAATCTACAAAATCCACCGACACCCCTACAAGATGATTGATATCGCAGTTTCTGTGATCTATTATATATATACAACTGGCTGTTGAAAGATTTCAGCATTATAACGACAATACTAATTGAAATAACTAAAAAAAAACAAAAACTTCAACAAAATTTTGATATGATAAAAAGAAGCGTATTTTTTTTGTTATAATTTTCTGGGATAACACACACACACACACAACATATACAGGTTAAATGAAATGGGCAAAATTTGAATGCATAAAAGAGAGAGGGGGAAGAATGGTTCCTTTTTTACAGAAAGTCCGTCCATTTTCGGGAAGGAGAAGGACGAAAATACACCTTTTATTTTCTCACAGAATTCACTTGAATGATTGATTGACCGATTGTGATTACATTGGACGCTGTTCCATCTTTGTTTTAGGCGGTCTCAATCCCCCAATACCCTTTGATGTTTTCGATTTCTTTTCTTTAAAATCTCGCCAACTAGCAACACGATTACTGCGGCTTTCCTTTGAAAGATTTTTTCAAAAAAAAACAAAATAGAGAATAATGAATGAATTAGTGACATCGACCATGTTTAACTATGTTTTTCTTTTTGGCTAGTGGAATACATATATAAAAACCAAGCTATTAGTGTAATATGATAAGGAAAAAGCAGTTTCTGTCGACTTACCTGGTGTCTTTCATTGCAAAGAGAAAGTTTAATACCAAGATAAATATAAGAGCCTTAATGAGTGAGGTGCCTCTTCATTCAGTAGAATCCAACGGATATGCACTGAAGACAGACAGACACACTTGATGATGAGGAAGAAGTAGGAAAGACGGTTTTTTTTGTTCATGGATAATCCTCATCCAGGCATGAATGAAAACAGAACACGTAGATCAATGAAGAGTTTTTTTTCGGCGGCGAATTCATTTTCTTAGCTGTACAATCGCAAATATATATATATATATGTTGTTTTGTATGTATGTGCACATTAAGTCAAGAAATTTAGATGTTAATGAAACTAGGGTGGTATCAAAGGTAATGAGGTGTCACAAACAGTTGTTAAAAAAAGAAGTTATGTAATAATAATATGAATAGTTTGATGAGTGAGTTTTACTCAGGATGCACATAGAAACAAAGTAGATAATACGAAATTATGTAAGAGATCTAAGTGAATACACGAGAAGACAGGAATATCCTGGACCGACGTGAAGAACCTAAAAGACCTGGATTTCGCTTGTGGATGATTTATGTTTGATGTCACACACAATCGAAGACTTACAAGCGAAAACCGACAAACTGGTCGAAGAAGCAGCAAAGACAGGACTCCAGGTAAACATAGACAAGACGGAGGTGATGAAAATAACCAACCAACAACAGCAACATCCAACGCCAATTACCATCAACGGGAGGGATTTGAAAGAGGTGAATTCATTCACTTACTTATCTAGGGAGCATTGTCTCAACTACAGGAGGAGCACGCGAGGATGTCAAATCGAGCGAGAATCGGGAAGGCGAGAAACACATTCATCAACCTGAAATCAATCTGGAAATCTGCATCACTCAGCATCACCAACAAAATTCGGATTTTCAATACAAACGTCAGTTCTTCTATACGGATCAGAAACTTGGCGGATGGGTCACAAAGAATATTTCCAAAAGGCTGCAGACCTTTATTAACAACTGTCTTCGCTCTATACTGAAGATCAGATGGCCGGAAAGATTCACCAACAACGAATTATGGGAACAAACAATGCAAGAACCAATCGCCCAACAAATATGCAGGAGAAAGTGGAGATGGATCGGACACGCTGAGGAGACCGCCGCTGGGTGACATCGCGCGCGCGTCAGGCCATTGCTGGAGTGGAACCCGAAAGGGAAGCGGCGTGTGGGACGTCAGTGCAAGGGTGACATGGAGGAGATCGTGTGAAGAGGAGTTGAAAGAATATGGACTTACATGGACGCAGGCGAAAAGTACAGCAGAAGACAGAAGAAAATGGAGACGTGCAGTTGAAGCCCTATGTTACACTAGGAACCCAAGGGAGCAATAATAATAATAATAAAGTTGAGTCAAGCCTATTTTCTCACCCACCTCTTAACTCGCTTTATTATTTCCGCATATTCCGTATATTCCTATGACAAGTCCGTGTGTGTGATGGATCAGGTTGTTCGAAATGTGTTTCTCAAATATGCATATTACACAGACGATTCAGACAAACAAATTTCGTCTTCTTATTGCTTTATCTAAATTCATAAAGGGAACTAACTGTTTTATGCTAGCAAATCTCAACCCCCGTGAAGCATTATATCTAGCTGGAGTCTAAAGCACTTTCAAACCCACTGAGACCTGTCAAAACCGATCCACGGACAGAAACAAAAGACTCAAAAATATGCAGACTGAGGTGAAAGAGATTGGAATAAAAAGATTCAGGAGAGAGTGATATACACTGGAAGCATATGTAGCAGGTGGAAATCTTATCATAGGCTGAGAATGTTGAGATACTAAAGCCGAGACAATTCTAGAGGTATGAATAATTATGGTTAAAAAAGCTAAGCTACTTATCAGTAGTAAGTAGTACAGATGAAATCATAGAAAACAGAGATGATCTATATGTCCAAACCAAGTTCACCGTTAACAGTTTGAAAAAATTTAGGCATTGGGTTTATTATGATATTCATTATAATAAAGGGTTTTCTTGTATTTCCCAATGAATGAAAAAACAAAACGAAATTTTTTTATTACCGATTTTTCGCTATTTAATGCTAGTACTTTATCAAAGCAGGAGTATTATTAAACCAGAAGAATTTACAAAATCCACCCAGCATATATATAACAAAGAGTTGAGAGGTGGGTGAGAAAATAGACTACTTACGTTAAGTTAAAGGGACATATTGAAAGTCCAAATAACAATCAAGATCACTAAACCATATATCAAAGGTAATAGTACGTCTGCCATGGCTGGTATCAAAACAAAGTTTACTAACTTGATCATCGTTCGTCAGTCTGGGGTCATTTTTTGTAGTCGAGTTGGTCAATTGGTAACGATAACAAAACCAAGTTTAGATTATTGGATTTGATCAATGTGTAAAATTATACAACAGCGTGTGCTTATATATAATGAAATTTTTAATCACATTCGTGTTGATTTCGTCACTTCATGGGGGAGGGAGGTGTTGTAACCAGGTCAGATTCTGTTTTAGTCCAGCATTCCTATTCAGTTCAGACAATTTGGATTCCACTTGATGATATGAAGTGCTTCCTGTGATATGGGGGGTTTTTCGTGATTTCTGAAATGCTTTTTCTGGATGATGATTTCAATATTGTTAAAATCAGTTTTGTGGCCTGATTCTATAGCGTAGTGTGTAGACGAGCTATGACTAATGATTTTTCAAGCTTTTCTAGTTCACTAACTGGATTTCTTGGTGGTCGAAGAGAAGCTCTACGGTGTTCATTTCTTCTGATTTTGATTTCTCACTGGAGATGCTTGTCCGATGTATATCGCATCACATTCCAAGCAGGCATTTTATTTTATTGACACAATTAGATAAAGAATCTCTAGGGATTTAGTCTTTTATATGGACAAGGTTGTTTCGTAGTGTGTTTGATGTTTTGAAGAAAACTCTAATATCGAACTGATTGAGTACTCTTCTGATATCGTCTGATGTCTCCACTCTATTCGGAATGACAACTGTTGAAGTCCTCGTTTTCGACCATACTTAATGTTTGTGTTGATTTTGTTGATGAAGTTCCTTGGGTAGTTGTTTTGCTTGAGGAGAGTTTCAGTAATTTTTGATATTTCTTCTTCTTTTTCTTGCTCATCCGTTAACATCAGAGAGTATGCTCGTCTAAGAAGACTTGAAACAACTGAAATCTTTTCGCTGATGGGGTGTGATGATCTGAAGTCTATATATTTATTGTAGTAGGTTTTCTTCCTGAATATGAATATACTAAAATGTCAGTTTTCCCTCCTCTTAACTAGGCAGACCAGTCTAGAAATGGTAGTTCACCGAAGTCTAATTCTGCTTCCGAAGTAAACTAGATTCTAAGAGATACAGTTTAATTTCTCCAGGAACTGAACTATGTAGATCTCATTTTAGTACTACGAAAGTATCATCTACATATCTTAAACATATTTTAGGGGTGAGTATGCTTGAAAAGATGCTATTTTCGAATCTATTCATGAAAAGGTCAGCGACTATTAGGGAGACTGGTGAACCCATAGCAACACCATCCGGATTTTCAACTTCAATGTGAAGTCAGTCAGTGCTACTATACAGATCAGAGACTTGGCGCGTCATAAAGAGCACCTCAAACAAACTACAGACCTTCATCAATAGCTGTCTTCGCTTAATACTTCGCTCAAGATCAGATGGCCAGAAAAGATCAGCAACAGGGATCTCTAGGAGCTATACAACCTGGAAGCTATTGTGAAACAAATAGGCACGAAGAAATGGAGGCGGATTGGCCATACCCTGAGAAAACAATCCATCAAGTGACATCACTAGACAAGTCCTCGAATGGAACTCGAAAGGGAAGTGGCGAGTTGGTTGTCCAAGGGTGACTTGGAGGAGGTCATGTGAAGATGAGATGAAAGCGTGTGGGCAGACTTGGAGCAGGGTGAGAAAGTTGGCAGAAAACCGAACGCAATGGAGACGCGCGGCTGAAGCCCTATGTTCCTCTCGAAATTAAAGGATAAAATAATAATAATAATTCTTGAAGGAGTCTGTTTGTATTTAGTTTCATTTTGTTGAATTTAGCGGATTTCTTCCCTTCAATAAGTATTGTCCTTCAGAGATAGATGTTCAATCGCCTTCTTCTTTTCATAATCCGTTCTGTTCGTTATCATCACAGTGATATTTCCCTTGTCGGCTTTCGTTATAACGATGCTTTTGTCCTTCTTCAGATTTGTTTCATATATACACTGAGATTATGTAAATTCTGGTTTAATAATAATACTTTGATAAAGCTATTAGCATTAAATAGCGAAACGTCAGTAATTAAAAAATTTAAAAAATTTAGTTTTGTTTTTCATTCATTGGGGAATACAAAAATCTTTATTATAATGTTATATATATTGCCTAAACTTTCGTAACCGAGTGAGTAACTTCAAAGGCAAGCGATGAAAAGATGATGTGACACGCATGAAATTGTTACAAATTACGAGATAGGATCATTGAAATAGAGACAATTAATTAATTAAAATAAAATAACTTTTAAAAAAAAAGAAGGTACCTACTTCATAGTTCTTCCTCCATATCTTATCATACTCGACGAGTTTCTTCTCTTCGGCTTCTTGTTCAGCTTTACGCTTCCTGAAATAAAATAAATAAATAAATAAATGTGGATGCTTACAGGTGAACTGGTGTGATATTGTCTACGGAAAAAGGTGAATAAACTGTGATCACTATACGTGTAAAACTTGAGCACTGTAGTAGTAGTAAGTGATTCCATAATAGTTTGTTTATTAGATGGATACATCACACAAACAGAGCACAAAAACTAAGTAGTACCAAGGAAAATCTAAGACAGGAAGTGATACACATAAAAGAAGCCTTGAAACTTAACAATTACCCTGATAAATTAGTCAGGAAATATGTAAGGAAATGTAAAAATAAAATAAATAATGATAGTAGTGATAGTGATAATAATATTATTAATGACGACACCAACAATAAGGAATCTAAATCATCAGTAATTCCATACAAGGAAGGAACCTCGGAAACCACCTTACAGCCAAGAATTCTTAACAAGGCGGGCAGGAATAAAAGTGGTTGGTATTCAAACTAACCACAAACTCAATGAGAAACAAGCTCTGTCAGTTAAACCATCAATCCTGTGGAGCCTTTAAAACAAAAGAATTAAGTCTATCTAATACCCTGTGTGAGATGATTTTCAGGTCAAATACATAGGTCAAAGTAGTAGAATAGGGTCACTGATTCAGTCAGACTAGCCAAGAAGCATAAAAACCTAGCAGCAAAATCTAGATTAGTTGACCCGACCGAATAAGATAAAAAATCTAGAGAATAGTTCAGCAGCTATCGAAAGCACTACATGCAATCACACACCACACAACCATACAATAGGCTGGATGAGATAGAATGACAGTTTCAAAATCTAATGTCACAGGGCAGCGAGTGGGGAAGATTGGTAACAGAAGCTTCGTTTATCGAATCAACTGAGAGAATACGTGTAATAGGAATGATTCAACAGCTGTACACCCAGATATATCTGGAAAATTCTACTACCCCAACGACGACAAAAGGAGAGAACAATGAAAACTATGAAACTCAAGTTTCAAAGTCGTGTGATTACAATCGATATGATTATGAACAATAAATTTTGTTCGAAACTTTGTCATCCAGTAAATACTAATACTGGTTCACTGCCTGATACATCTTATAAACAAAAAAGTATGTAACTGTGATTACATAAAATGTGGTATATAAAGCTGAAATTTGCCAATTAGTGTTATCAAAACATTATGCGTACGTTAGATGGACATATCACGTGACATAACGATGATATTTTATGGGTCATGAAAGAGATGAATTATAGACATGGAGGACATGAAAGCAACACCTTTTCTCCTTTAAGTGTTTTCATGAAATTGTTGACGTCACGTAGAGCAACATGGTAAATGCTGATATTAGAGAGATGAATGTCATCGCTTTCCTCAACGGGTAATGTTAGGTGACATAGAATCAAGTTGCGAAAGAGTCAGTGTTGGTGAAACCGAAACATGGCTCCATCAGTCAAATGAAATCCACAACAGCTAGTTTAAGGTGTAGACTGGCTTCCTGACTGGTTGGAGACTTCGGGATGACGATAGAAACCAATGGAGGCTGGAGACAATCGGTGATGATATGGCTCAAAGCGATCGTTCTCAATGGCTGCCTAGCTCAGATGCATCCACTCCTTGTGACTTATAATCTCCAATGAAACTATATTGTTCTTCGTTATTGCTATTCCTTTGTCTCACACCTCTGTTTACTGTCTCTCTCTATTATGCATTTGTTCTACTTTCTTGTGTTGCTTTGCGTCGTACATAGAGTGGAGTGTGGCGACTTGAACTGATGCACATCGGTGCAAAGTTTTATGTCGAAAACAGACAGTCTGTTTCACGTGTTTTTCGGTTGTAATATCATTTTATATATGTCCCATTTGTGTATTTACGAAGAGTGAAAACATTTTAGGTTCACCTCTGTACGACGCTTACGTTTATTTATCAGTCAGTGTATGGTCAGTGGGAATACATCACACAAATTAATAAATCAATATAAAGAAAGGTGAGAATGGTAGGTTAAAGAAAAAAATAACAACAGCTATGTTTCCTCATCAAGTACAGCCAGCGATTTCGAAAGTAGAATGAAGAAAAGTCTGTTGCAGGCAGGATCACCACTAATTTTAATTCAGCGTCTTACCGCATGCAGTTTTGGCTGCAAAGTCCTGAATTTCACTTAAAGAGTCGCGATACACTAACAGATTGCAACTAAAACGTATCTGTCTTATTCCAAGGCGCTACTTCATGAAAATAACCACTCCTTTTCAGTCGATGATTATTACGTACTGCATTTAAAACGTTTTACTTGCTTAAGTCATCAGGTTTATTGGTTACCAACACTATGGATTTAATATTCGACTTTAAAAACATAAAGTCATCATATGTTTACTCAAAAAACTTTAAAGTCAATTCTCATATAATTCATAACTCCCAATAGACTTTTTTCGCAGCGTCAATATCGAATCACTTTCAAATATCAATTTTGCTTTTGGTACGTCAGGGGTGGGGTGTGGGGTGACGTAGACTCCAAATTACGGAATCAGTGAATGGTGAAAGAGAATGAGTTATATATAAATTGTGAAAGCGAAGAAGGCATGAATATATCTTTTTTGTGTGATGGATTCCAACTTAAATCAAGTAAGTAAGTTTCTAAGCATCTGTCAGGTACGGGGATCGGAAGGCTTATAATAACAAGCCAAGAATTGTATACACTGATGCCATATTATTTATCTTACAATTTCACAAAACCCTATAGTAGCAAACAAAGCGATAATGATCAGGAAACCTATCAACTCTTAATAAATCATTCATCTATAACATAGTCAAGTGTGTTTTGTGGTAGACTAGGTCGCATATTCACGTAATATCCATTCAGTTGCCCAAAGACTGGTGGTGATTTTCAGCCAACCTTCTTTGCACATATCCGTGTGTGATTCATAGTATTATGTGGGAGGGAATAAAAATTTAATCTCTGAAGCGATAGACTCTGCCTTTCTGTTTTCAACATAAAACTTTGCACCAATATGCACCAGTTCAAGTCGCCACACTCCCTCCATATACCACATAAAGCAAGAGAAGAAATGCATAATACAGACAGTAAACAGAAGTGTGACACAAAGGAATAGTAATAACGAAGAACAATATAGTTTCATTGGAGATTATAAGTCACGAGGAGTGGATGCATCTGAGCTAGGCAGCCATTGAGAACGATCGCTTTGAGCCATATCATCACCGATTGTCTCCAGCCTCCATTGGTTTCTATCGTCATCCCGAAGTCTCCAACCAGTCAGGAAGCCAGTTTACACCTTCCTACGTGGCTGGCTGGCTTCAACTAAGTGTTGTGGATTTCATTGACTGGTGAAGCCATGTTTTGGTTTGATCGCCGCTAGCTCTTTTCCAGTCTGACCCATCCTGTCAGCTAACTTTGCCCATTGTCAAGGAAGGCGATGACTAGGCATACGTAACACATGTCCTAACCATTTAAGTCGATGTAATTTCTATGATGAAATTTCTTTCCGTACTTTACATCAAATTTACACCTTTTCTATGAACTGCTCTTACCACGCTTGTTATGGTGCATAATGAGCTTAGGGTCATGTGGACTGCAGTATTTTAATCGATCTCTAATTCGCTTCTTTCCAGTAGGTTGAACAGCCTACAGTTAACTTCTCCCACATTCACTTTGTAGAAAAGTGGACCCGTTCAAACTGTCACACTTCACAAACTGAACATAAACACTGGTACTCTGATTATCATTTTTATATTTTTTTATTATCGCTTGATTCCACACCGCAGTTTTGGTACAAGTATGGAATTTTCAGCATGTGATATGGGTAGCCCAATTTTGCAGGCCGACCATTGATATCGGGTGTGCGTCGGCAGGGGATCGAACCTCAGACCATGTGTATGGTCGGCAAGAGTCCTAACCGCTGTGCCACCGACGCACTCATTTCAAAAACTCAATTCAACTTCAGTGTTATTCATTATCTAAAACATCATGCTTTTCCTAAAAACTGGTGACTGATAAGCTGTGATTATCAGGATGTTAAGAATCACTGGTTGGATACATGATGGCGACCCACAAGCAGTCTCCTTATATACATCTCTGGTGAGGTCAAGACTGGAAAACTGCGTCCAGGCCGCCGGTCCTTGTCTAAAAGGAGACTCACATTCCAGAAAGGGTTCAAAGGAAGGCAACACGTATGGTTCACGGCATGACTATCTTATGATACGATGAAAGACTAGACAGATTAAATCTCTTCTCCCTCTCATACCGTAGGCAGACAGCAGATTTAATCACGTTCAAAATCTTAAATAATGACTACGGACTTGCCCTATTCTCTCTTTTCCTTCCCACCAAGTGGTCGGAACACCTTAGAGGATATAGTAGGAGAGAGTTCAAAAGCCAAGAAATCATATTGCTGTTGAGTACTGATTCTCACACCGAGTCACAAACTCTTAGAACTGACTCCCAGAAGAAGTGGTGTTGTCTGGTCTCAACTGATTCATTCAAGAAGGGTTTGGAAAACTACAGAAATTTACTAGAAAAGGATTAACATAGGCTCCAAGCCTTCTATCTTCAACCAATAAATCTGAATATTTAGGAACATTCAGAGCCACTAACGAGGCCATTTTCATAATTACTTTGCAAACCAATAGTGTCCATGAGGGACACAGAACTGCCAAAAGTTAGGGAACAAAAGGACTTAGGAATTATTGTTAACCATGACTTAAAAACAACCGCTAAGTGTAATCCAGTCGCAACTATGGCTTATCGAATGCTTTGAGCAATTCGAAAGGCTTTCAAACGAATAGACGAGGTTATGTTCCAAGTACTCTATGCAACATATGTCAGGCCTCATCTAGAGTACTGCATACAAGCGGAGAGTCCATGTTTCAAAAAGGAGGCAAATACCCTGGAAAGAGTACAGAGGTTAGGAACGAATTTAGTTAGTGGTATATCTCACACCTTCCTTATGATATGATGGATGGAGTCTCTTCCCATTATCATACCGAAGGAGGAAAGAAGACTTAATTTTGGCTTACCGTATATTCAAGGGTGATTTAGGAGATTGACCTTTCAAACCTTTTCTCTCCATCTAGGATAACATTTACGAGGTCACTAGAAGAAGGTGCTCAAACCGAGGTCGAATAAAATACGGTTGGAGTTTAGATTCTCTCACAGAGTGGTCAACGACTGGAACTCTTTACCTGTAATTTAGTAGTAGCAGCTCCATCGGTGAACGCTTTCAAAGAGAAACTGGATCTCTGCAGAGATATATATCGCGAAGATTAACATAGGCAACAAGAGCCTTCTATCCTCAACCAATATATCTGAATATAGGAATATTCAGAGTCATTAATGAGGCCGTTTTTCATAATTACTCTCTACAATCCATTAGCCATACTTTACAATCAATGAATGCACCTTATTGGTATTTGTTCGTTATCACCGTAAAGTCAATGTACTCCAATTTACACACAATCATCAAAGCTAACAGCATTTTTAAAAAAACATATACAGAAACATACCTATCAGATGACTGTTTCAATTCTTCTTCTACTCTCAATCTCTCAAGATCTGCAAACAATTTGCATGTTTGTACATAAATAGCGTGTCGATGCTGTGTACAAGTTAGACGCATATGCGCGCACTACTACTTACCTTGTCTGGATCATCTTCTTCGATCGTCGTCGGACCACCTGACTTTTTAAGACGTTTTCTTTTTTCAATCATCTGAAAGCGTTAGAAGACTTTATTGAGAAAAAAATAGATACCATTTGTTCAACTAGTTCTTTAGCTTCTTCCACCACTTCTTTGCATTTGCGACAAGTTTCTGGATCATCCAAGGCTTTATACGCTTTGTTTACAGCTTTCCGCTAAGTCCACAAAGTAACCAAACCCGGAATTACCTTCGAAAGCTTTTTGAGATCGTTCAGTATCGTCAGGATTTTTATCAGGGTGAACCAGCAGTGACAACTGAAACACTTATATTAGTGGAGATAATAAGAAGCAAACCTGTCTGTACTTCTTTTTGATATCAGCCATTGAGGTATCAGGATCAACTTGTAATACCTAAGGCGTTTGAAAAAATAAATGATGTTAAATTGAGCATACATCATATGGATTTAGATTGAAGTAGGTAGAACCAGGTCGATTGAGTCTGTCTATTTGTTGTTTAGGTGTTAAGACAGAATCTCGTTTTTCAATCGCCTTCACCTCCTCGTAAAAGGTTGAAAATAAATCGCTAGACCCTGTATTTGTGGACATCCTAGTGCGGAGTAGCGACTGAAACGAATAAGCCACTCAACATTCAATGGTCAACAAATTTTCCGTCCAGAATAAGTTAGTAAAATTTAATAAATGTGAGCAAATACAAGAGGAAAACTTCAATAATTATTCACCCTTACGATTTACATCGCTGTGCTCGCCTAGCCTTTGGGTGAAGTTATTAACGGCTGGGTAAATGCGTCATGTGGCGGCACAGCACAGAGATATAGTCAAAACAAATTTTATCGCAGATGCATTTTTGCCCCTCATTTGCCACTGCTTCAGGTGTTCCCTAGGGATCCCTATGACATCACACCAGTAACATATATGAGGGTTGTCAGTATGAATGAAAGATTGATGAATTCGACTGCATAGCAAATGATTAACAAAAAGAATGTATGATCATTTTCCTGGTATTATAATAAGGTAAATAGTGGCATCCTTCTTAGGAGGTAAACTAGGCTTCTTTACGGTTGGGGTTTCCTGTGATCACTATGTATTCCACGCTTGTTGTAACAATTTTTTACAGCGAGCTGTTTAGGGCGTAATGTTACGGGAAATGATTTCTAAAACAACTGTCTTGATCGCCTAGATTCCTCAGACATAAGAATGAGTAGCCATCTGATTTCTTCCCTTATAACCTTTACAGATGCCATCCTCTGGTTTTGGTCTCAAGAAGAAGTACCAAGCAACAATGGAGTCATCACATTATGCAGTCGATTATAGCTTCCATTCTTCCTTAGTGGCCAAATCTGATGAGTTTCATTCACTGGCTATGTGGCGCGAAGGAATCTTCCTATCATCTTACACCATCACAGACCGAAGCTAGACCCCTTTCCTTTTTTACAAAAAGGTCTGCTTGACACCGATGAATTTATTGGTGAGGTCGCTTCAGCTTTATTTACAATCTGAACAATAATAATAATAGTATATATTCTCATTTTTTACATGAGGGACGCCGGTTTACAGGCATCATCAATTCGATAAGTTACACATAAGATTATTAAGCATATTTAGTAAAGGTCATATTATAATGTGCATTTTTTTCCTAACTATGTAGGATACACCAATAGTATAGGCACGTATAAATATTGTTTTAATAATAATATATTTGTCCCTGTTTATGCAGGAACATACCTATTGTACAGGCATGGATAAGTTATTATATAAATTACACATAATTTGATGTATAATGGACTTACAGTTTGGTTGTTCTTTCTGACATTAGAGTCAGTCGGAACAGTCTGCTATAAAGTCTGTTTGTTTAGCACATAAAGAGATATAGAAATATTGTCTTCGCATTAACAAAAAACCCAGACATCACTTGAATGCAATACAGATATCTGGGAAAAATAAAGCTTGAAGTCAATTCTCGTATATAACTTTGTTGTGAACGACACCCTTGGCTTAAAGATTATTGATGTATTATGTTGAGATCAGTGATATATTTACTCCATTTTTCAGCAGTCTTATCGTAGTTTCATAACAGGAAAGTAATTTGATCGTGGAGGCGAAAACTAGATAAGGTCATGTTAAGTTGGTTTACTGCATCAAATGGTGCCGGGGTCGATTCCAGAATTCTCTGTTTGCGCCATATGTGTCTGCATGGCGGACTGTATTCGTAAGTTGAGTAAAATGTTGAAAAACTGTTTGAAAATCAGTTGCTTCTTCATTTCAGATCATGAATACTCATTTACAGCATGTTTGCCAGCGTCTTCAAATGGTAGAATTGGATCGTTCATGGAATTTGAGTGGTTATGAGATAAATGGTTTGGAATTAATCATAGCAGTCAGAATACAGTTAAACATGCAGAGAAGTACTTATGATTCAGCAACCGGTGAATTTTTTATTCTTTTCGATCTGGTACCAGAATAACCGCGGACCATTCCATTCAATATGTCGAATAAGGCATACAGGGGCAGATCATTACCATCGGATGAATCAACTTGATCTGAGATGCAGCTTTCAGCATGTTTTCGTTATATCATAGATATCCAGGTTTATTGGCGCTGTATAGGCAGTGATTTGGATTATAACGTATTCTACAAAGTCTCCGTGCCCATTTGAAGTATACATATGCTTTGAAAGGATTACTTTGTTGGCTCCTACCCCCACTGAGTGTTAACAACAGCTGCTGTGGGTTTATGTATTTCCTCGCCATTTTGGATAAAACATCGCCGCATTCTTTTCGGGAAGGAGACCAATTGGTGGATTATAAATGATGTCCAAGTAACTTTTATCTTTTCATGTGGTGTTGCGGTAAGTTTCTACCTTGTTTTCTCATATTTCATTCGTATGTTGGTTATGGTTCGCCCTTTGTATCAGGTAGACATAGTTCGATCGACTCTTAATTGAATGGGTGTTATTTTCATGACTGCTGCTTTTTTGTCTGGAATGATAAATAGAGGCAAAACAAATAACAGGTGTAGTCTCTAAGTTCATACATTAAATGGGCCTATGATTTCTGAAACTCTTACATGGGAATCAGCACTGGTATCAATTACGAACTCACTTAGTGTGTCATTAAGTGCCTTTTCAAGGGAGGCCAATGTGCTTGCTAGTCTCATTTTCTCAGGTAGTTTGTTCCATATTTGGGCATACCTAATCAAGAAAAACTTTTGCCTGGTGGCCGCTTTACATGGTTCTATAGCCACTGTACCTTTAGTGTGTCTAAGGTTATATCCTCTGTCTCCTGAGAGCCGAGTATAGTTAGCAGGGGTGTAGGGGACTTATACTAGACTTCACTAACATTATAAATATAAGAATAATAATCCAAGTCAATGGAGTGTTAAATGACAATATATTACCAAAAAATGCAGTGACGAGTTGTATCAACAAAAAGGATTACTTGGATATAAAGTCTAAGTCCTCTGCTACAAATTATGTATATAATCCACGGGTACGTTAATTGATTAGGTTGCGTCTGCTGTAGCTGCTGTGTTCCGGTTGTAGAAATGTCTTCGGTTGAGAGTAGTAGACTCCTACAATAAATCCGAAGTATACAACACGGTGTGAGTGGAGCAAGTAAGCAGAAGTGACCAGGGAGAAGACGAAGTCTCCAACAGCAGAGTGTGTTTTCCAATTGTACACGGAAGTTATCTATATTTCAACAAGAAGCGTTTTAAACAAAAATTATGTACAATATCCCGAATTTATATAAATAACCAAAAAGTGTACAATCACATTGTTACGTACTCCACAGGGGTATACACTATTTGGTTAAGAAGCTTATAGAAGAGCACCAGATGTAGTCGCAGTCGCCTTAACCATAATGTTTCTAATCCTAGGATTTCACATCTGGTAGAGTAGTTTGTGCCGCTATCGGCTCCGAGTACTTTTCGCGTGAAGTACCTCTGTACTCCTTCTACTTTCAGTTTGTCTTCTATGCGTGTACTACTAAATATGAATGAGCAGTAATCTAGGAGTGGGCGCACACATACCTTGTACAGTAGTATTCTGGATTCGTTTCTGTAGAAGGACAATTGTACAATTCAATAACTATACAGCCTAGTTCAGACAATGTGTATTTATATATATATCAAATATTTAACTGTTGAAACATTATTAACTTGTAGACAATCTACGATTTGATACTATATCATACTTGATCGTGCCTGTAAAAATGGCATGCATTTTCATGTAAATTTATATGTTTATATGAGAATATACATTATTATTATTATTAAGTTCCTGAGTAGGAAACCAATAAGGCTGCGTGATTTCGATACTTGATTCGAGATATGCTCAGAAAATGATAGATTGTGTGAATATTTCAGTCCTAGGTCTGGCACAGATTTGAGTCTGGGGATTTTGTGGCCCTGAATTGCCAGGTCGAGTTCAAGGTTGGAACAGCCTATGCAGAGCCATCCACACTTTTCAACACTAAACTCGAGTCTCCAGGTGTCACACCATCTATCCACTTTTATTAATTCTTCATGTATGGAGTTCATAGTTGGGTCGATATCTGTATTTGTGCAGGTATATGTCACCTTCAACTCATCTGCATACAGTATTGGCTTGCCTACACTAAAACATTCACACATATTGTTCATGTATATAATGAAAAGAAGGGGTCCCAATACACTACCCTGGATGACACCACTGCTGATTGGTCTAGGCCTGGAGGTCATTGAGCCAACTTTAGTTGTCTGATTCCTGTCATAGAGAAATGATTTTATCCAATTGTGGAGGGGGTTGCGTATCCCTAGTGAGCATAGCCTGTCGACTAGCAGACTATGTGGGACTTTGTCAAGGGCTTTATTATATCGAAGTAGAGGATAATTACTAGATCTCTCTTATCTCTTATATAGGTGACTTCGTTGAAAAAGTCTATATGGCAAGTGACGCAAGATCCTTTCTTGAGGAATCCGTGTTGTGACAGGTTGATGAGTTTATATTTTAGGAATTAGTCTCACATTTGGTCTTTGATTAATTTCTACATGATCCTTGATATGGCAGGTGTTATACTGATAGGCCTGTAAATGATGTTGAAGATTGAACGATCGACTTCCCCAATTTTCGCGGAGACATCAATACACCAGTCATCGTCTCATCGATCGCTGTTAAAAAAGCACGTACAAAACTGTCAGAAGCAATATTGTGATTTATTATTGTAATATTTGTTCACAGACCTTAGTGGAAACATTTTTATATGTTGGTGTTACAATAAAGAATTGTCGAGTGGCGAATCAGTGTTTTGGATTTTGCGTCCGTTATTACTAAGCGTTTCTGAAAACTTCAAGCGACAGCGTGAGCCCGAGCGTAGCAAGAGCTGGGCATTAATGGTTTACGAGACGTGACTGACAGTTTCTGACGGTACAAACAGATTCCGGCGGATTCAGACAGTTGGTGAAAGTTTGGATAGTCACCGTTCATCTTTCCTGGTGCCGGTCAAGTCCTCTTTGAACAAGCAATATCTGGAACGTTTTGGAATTGGGTCAAGTTCAACAATGCCTGGGTCAAAGAAGGGACAGAGCGTCTTGGATGCAAACAGGAAAGTAAGTCATGGTGACTTGTCTGTTAATTGTAACGATGTGTCTGATGTT